TTTGCCTCTTTTCGTGCCTCATTTGCACCATAAAGTGCGAATTCGGTGCTGATTTGAAGCGAGCAGAGTGCAGTTTATGATCTAACAGAGAGAGACAGCGGCACAGTTGACATTAAATCTGATGACAGCGGCAGGACAGGCGACACACAGACACACAGGGTTTATTAGGGAGCAGCTCACCGTGTATCCTTTCTCCACCGAGCTGTTTTCTGAGCGAAAAGACGGGATCGACACTCGCACCGGATGCATCTTCACTCGAACTGAGGCGTGATTTTCAGGTAGGTGATGTTTGATCTTGATCCTCTGGCGCACACAAACACATTGACACACACACACACACACTCACTCACTCAGTGCTGGTGGATTACTCCAGTTTGACTGATAAAAATCACAGAATTCAAATGTGACGAAAGACATCTCAGTGGTGCCCCCTGCTGGACCGGAGGGCACACCGTTGTAAGGATTATCTTGAAGAAAGATAAGGCTTCTTTAATCTACATGAGAAAGGATCCTTGGGCAAGATACTGAATTCTGAGTTGCCTCCGATCCATATATGTAAGTGTGTGAATGTTGGGTTAGAATATTTTCTTCTTCTTCTTTCAACTGCTCAGTTCATGGGTTGCCACAGCCCGTCATCTGCATTCATTTCACCCTATCTCTACCATCCTCTGCTGACACCCCAGTAATCTGCATGTCCTCCTTCACTACATGTGCGAATCTTTTCTGTGGTCTTCCTCTTTTCCAGCTCCAACCTCATCCTTTTCGAGACTTTGAAATGCTTGGAAGAACAGCAAAAACACAACTCTACTTTACAAGCCTCAGTTAGGATGTTAAGTGTTAAAGCTCACAATATTACAATTAGAAAAAGATTGAACAAGTATGGCTTGTTTGACATCATGGCTAAACCTTGCAAAGTTGCACCTGAACCTTGGGACTTCGGGAACAATGTCCTTTGGACAGATGACACCAAAGTGTAGATGTTTGGCAATAATGCACAACGCCATGCAGGAGGGAAAAAAAACAGCATATCAGCACATAATACCTCATACAAACTGAAGCGTGGTAGAGGGGTGATGATTTTAGCTTGTTTTACAGCCGCAGGACCTGAGAACCTTGCAGACATTGAGTCGACCATGAACTCCGCTCTATACCAAAGGTTCAATGTGAAACCATTTCTCTGACAGCTAAAGTTTGGCTGAAATTGGATCATGCAGCATGACAACGATCACAAGCACAGCAGCAAATCTACAACAGAATTGCTGAAAAAGAAAAGAATCAATGTGTCGTTTGAATGAGTGAATCAGTGCTGTGGTGGGACCTTAAGAGAGCTGAGTATAAAGGAATGCCTGCAAACCTCAATGAACTAGTAATAAATAATACTGAGTGATATTATCAGTGAAATACACAATACTTTTAACCAGTTCAAACATCTATGAAGACGTATTTCATTGTGTGTCATTGAATATGTACTTTTAAACCAGCCTTTAGTTATGGTGTTGACAACAGAGTCACCCAGGAAACGTTATAGCAAGTGCACGAAACTCATGAAAACATACATGCTCGTAGAAATGTATATACCATTGTGTAAAGAGTGACTTCACTGACATCAGGCACTAATACCAGTTATACGTGATGTGTAGCATGTGGAAAGTTTCCCTCGCACTGAAGGAAATTTGCCAACTCAGGAAACAACTTTGATGACATCATGGGGTTTTCAGTAGTGATATTGCAGATTGACATTACAAATTTATTATGCAAAGCCTGTGTTACAAACAGTCAAGAGTGTATTTGATGGGTGCTCATCACTCTAGGAAGGTAATAGAAATCTATCTTTCCAGTAATTTTCAATAAGAGGGACTAAATGTGAGGAAATGAGAGTCTCTGTTTTGCTGCAGTGGTTCTGTGCTGCTTTTCTCTGCTTTATATTAGCGTGACACATTAAAACAATCAGCTTTTTCTTTGCTATTTTCAGAAATTTTATCCAGTTTTAAAAAAAGAATCAGTGGCTTAATCAAAGACAATAACATATACATACATGTTGGAAACAAAGTCACCACGATCACAATAATCAGCCTAAAACTTCGATACAATATTACAGTTTTATTCAAGTAAGTTTCAACAAAAGCTCTTGCGTAAAGAGAGTTTCATCTGCTGCATATAAATATATTTTCCTTTAAACAACTGGGTTCAATATAACATTGTGATATACATGATTTATGCTGCGATTTTTCTCTTTTAGGCTCATGTTTTTCTGGATTTTATTTCTTCTAACAAGTGGCAGTAAAAGGCAAGCATACAGTACAATCCAACAGAAATGAGCTATGAAAAATACCCCCCCCCCAAAAGAAAAGAAAAGCAAAAAA